TCAGAAACAATTAATTTGAGGCCTGAGTAAAATATTTAATAAATTTGTACTATCAATCAAGTTTAGATAACATTTTTTAAAGAATTTCTTAAAACATCTTAGAAAATTTAAAATTCCAGAAAATGTTTCATAATAAAAGCCATCAAAATAATATTTTAATTATAAAAAATAAACAAAAATAATTAAATTCAAAGCCTGAAAAAAATATTAAATAAAGTTTTACTACCATCTAAGTTCAAATAATATTTTTTAAAAAGTTGCCAAAGACATCTCAGTAGATTTAATATTCCAGAAAATTGTAAGAACATTTTCTTTAAAAAATAAATGTTTTTTAGGAAGCCTTTCTAAGAAATTTCCCTTATTTCTTATTCATTTATTCGTCACTCCTTGTACTCCCTTTCCACCTATTAAATTCCTAACCATTTAAACACACCATTCAAACACTTAGAAGGACTTCATTCAAATCCAGTAGAATAAACAATAATCCCATTAATGTTATTAAGCCATAAAACACACGAGATATTTGCAAAAGAGAGAGACTTGTTCACTTCGACCTTGTTTTTGTTGTTTTTTTTTTCCCCTGCCAGAGATTGTGCTGCGATTTTATTTTCAGCTTCTCTGCCGGCTTTTCTCTGGCTAATCACCAGAGCCCTTCGCAGTTCGTTATTCTGGGTGGATTTGTGACGGGATTAGGCTAATGCCCTCCAAAACACAGCCACTTTGCCCCAGTCTGGGGTAGAAATAAAAACAACAAAAAAAAAAAAATAAAGAAATCCTAAGCCCAAATCAGTCCCCGATAATGTTACGGAGATTTATGTGGCTTTCGGGTCGTTTTATCCAGGATTTCCACACACACGCGCACACGCACGGTTAAGCAAATAAGCATATTTTTTAATTAAAATCTGAAATCGAGCTATTGGCCAAAATTGCAGTTGGCCGGCCGGAGGAAATGCATTCAATTGAATGCATTTTGTTGACAGCTCGCAGCGCCCGAGGGCCATCGCTTCCGCGTCATATCATGTTAGGCAAACTCATTAAGCTCGCAAAAAGTATGCATAATTTGGCCAGCGATTTACAGTGGTTGATCTCTGGGGTTTAATAATGTTTTACCACCATTGAAATTTAAGTTGTAGAATTTAGAGAAATATAAAAATGTAGTATCTAGATTCGTTAACCTAGAAAAAAACTAGCATAGACAAGTGCTCCAACCTGATTTAATTCCTTTTTGCTGGGCTATGGTGTTTTTAGACTTTGATTTATCGAGAAAAGTACCATATTAAATATCGATAAATATCGATTTAAAAAAACCGAATATTTTAGGGCTTCTTGAAGAGTATTTTGATTTTATACAGTGAACGAGTCATTTCCGACCCCATAAATCATATATATTCTTGATCAGCATCAACAGGCGAATCGAACTAGGCAAATTTTGGAAGAAAAAATATTTTGAAAATTTTTTTTCACAAAATTATTGTTAATATTGTATAAAAAAAATTACAAAAAATTTGATTTCCTGAAATTTAAAATTTAGTATGCATATTTGTAAACCCCAAAAAAACTTGTACAGAAAAGTTTACCGAACTGAATTTAATGCTTTTTTGACTTAGTTTTGGTGATTTTAGACTTCGATATATCAAAAAAATTGGTATTTAAAATATCGATAAATATCGTTTTAAAGAAATCGAATAATTTGGGTCTCCTTGAAGGGTATTATGAGTTTAGTCAGTGAAGGAGGCATTTCGGACCTTTTATTCTTGATCATCTTTAACACCAAAGCTTAAATAATTTTTCAATATAAAAAAAATTGGTTTGACTTAAATATTGAATAAATTACAATACTTAAAAAAAAAACAAAAATTAAGATAATTAATTTTAAAGATATTCTAAACTGTAATTTATTTAATATTTTTTCTTTTTTTAATATTAATATTAAATATTAATTTGCTAGAATTTCTAGATTAAGGATCTTGAAAAGGCCATGGAAAATTGAATGGTTTCAAGAATTAATATACAAATAATTTTCAAAGGTAGAAACAAGCACTAAACACACACACATTTCCCTTGGTGAAATTTACTTAAAAAGTTTAAGTTTATTTCGCAAATTAATTATGTTCATTTAAAATGCAGAGATTGCGGTTTTATTAGATTTACCCAGCATGCAGATGATGACACCCGGGGAATTATGTTAAGCTGCCTCACTTCACTTTAGAGGGCTGCCTGACTGCCTGGCTGTCTGACTGCCTGGCACTACTATAAGCAAATGGAATTTTGGTTTATTATATGCAAATGTCTCCCAGCTTGTTTGCTCCACATTTGTGCAAATAAATGTGGGCGTGTGTGTAATAATACATAATTGCATGACGCAATGGAGCATGCAATTCCCAAAGCCAAATCATCATCATAATCATAATCATAATCATCATCAGATGAAATCATTTTACACTTTTCGTGTTTACTTAAGCGTGCGGAGAGGCAACTTTATGAATGTTTTCCCCGTTTTCAGTACTAAGACAAACACCAAATCCACTTGCACTCGTGTAAAAAAAATGCACGTAGCACACAGTCACAAAATTGCAATAATTTTGTTTTTTTTTTTTGCTGTAGAACCAAGGACGAAGAAGGTTTTCCTTTTGGTCCTCTCGAAACCGCAACATACGACAATTTTTTGGCATTTTCACACTTTATGCGATATACAGGATGAGGATAAAAGGCAACTGGAGCAGCCAAAAATGTATTGAGCCAAAAAGCTATGCCAAGAGCAAACAAAAAAAAAAATGGAAATAAAAAAAAAAAACATAAAGGACCTGCCTTCACACACAGTAACAACAGGGTTAAGGAGAGCGTCAAAGTCACCAAAGATTTAAATATATTTGTTCGGTAAAATAAAAATAAGAAAGGCAAATACTTTTGAAATTTAAGGAAAAATTTAAAAGAGAAATTTTCTGAGAGGATTCTAAGAATTAAGTTATTAAAGTCAAAGATTAAGTTAAATTTATTGTATTTTTTGGCTTACTTATACATTTTTTAACTTTTGTTTATTAAAAAAAAAAAATTATATAAAATTATAGGTAAATATTTTAATTAAAATTGGCTTGCAGTTTTATTAACAAAATAAAAAACTAACTCAGAACAGCTTTCCCAGTTAAATTTAATAGAATTTTGGCTTATTTATGAATTAAAAAAATTTTCTTGTATGAAAAAAGTTTTAAATTTACTTAAATTAAATTTAAATTTATATTATTATGTATTTAAAACCAGTTTAAATAAACTGATTTTGTTCTATTATTAATTTAATTTTTTTTTAAGAATTTGATTTCCTTTTTTTTTTGCAATTTAATATAATTTCCTTAAATAATTTTATATAATTTTTTTAAATAATTTAATTACTTTTTTTTTAATTTTATTTAATTTTTTATAATAATTTTATTAACTTTTTTTTATATTCTTAAATTATTTTTAAATAATTTTATTTATTTTTTTTTATTATTTTTCTTTAATTTTTTTTATATTTATTAAAATTTTTTTTGTATTTATTTTATTTTTTTTTTAATTATTTCAATTTTATTTATTTTTAAAATTTAATAATTTTTTAAAATAATTTAATTAATTTTTTTTTATAATTTAATTACATTTGTTTGTAATATTTTATTAATTTTTTTTTTAAATTATAATTTAACCCTTTTTCAAACTTTTTGAAAAACCTGATCTTGTTCGATTGTAAGTTAATATTTTACACAAAATTCAGCTTTTGTTTATGGACATTTTCTACCTTTTCCTTAGCCTTTTCCAACCAATCTTCCTCTCGCATATCCAGGTAGTATCTCAGCTTGGCTCACTTCACTTCCTCAGCTTACATGTATCTTTGCTAGGTTCCCGTTTTATTGTTCAGGACTATTTCCTGCCTAAGTGCTTTTCCCTTTTAGCATCTTCCAGCCGAGTTGCGGTTTCTATGTGTGTGTGTGTGTGTGTGTATGAGTGTGTGTGCAACACCAATTTAACCCGTTCCATCAATCCGGCCACAGGGAGACACCACACCATAGCACACCGCACCACACCAGCCATCGACCACTCTGCGCCACTCTCGGCAAGTCATGTGCAATTCATAAATGCATCTGCAATCGTCCAGCCCATTCACAGGATATGTGGCTCAAGTCGGGGCAGAGCACTTCAAGGATCAACAAAAAAAAAAATAACCCAAAAAAAAAAAAAAAAAAAATAAAAAGAAAGACACCACACGAGCACATGACAGCATTCTTTTCCATCTGGTCGCTTCTCTCCTGCTACTCCTGCTAATCAAATCGGGCGCCAAGTCTTTTGTTGTCCAAAAGGAACCAAGGACGAAGGACGACATGGTATGTGCAATGAAGGGACAGCATCTCTACTCAGGTGGCTTTCACTCCTTTTCTTCTCCTTTTTTATTCTTATTTTTTTGTGGGTCAATCACCAGACAACAAACACACGGCGACATGGAATAGATGTCTAGGCTACATGTTGTCCATGAAATGATTGAATGGAAAAAACACACACAGCACACACAGAGAGCACCCACCCATCATCACATATGAAATGACAAGAAAAAATTGCTGAAAATATATTTGAATGAATTGAATGCAAACATATGTCCCTCTACTTGGGCACCCAACGTCTTTTGTGCACTGAAAACAACAAATAAAAATTAAATTCATTTGAAAACTTTTTCTTAGCAGAGACCTAGAGAAGAATTTGCAATGTTCTTTTTTTAAAAACTACAAAAATCTCAATAGACACACACATAACCACATTACTTACTAACTTTTACTGTAAAATTGAACTAGAATCAGTTGGGAATTATAAGCGCCAATGTAAAGCAAACAACAAACTTCAAAAGTATCTAAGCACATAATTGTATTTCTAAAAATACAAAATAATTCGTAATATAGCCTGCTTAAATCAAATTTGAAAATATGTAGAAAAATTCTTAAAAATTCAGATCACATCATCCTTGACATCGAACAAACGCTTCTGTCACTGGGCAAGCCTATAGGCCCCAGCCGGAATACATTCAGTTTGCAGCCAGAGCTCGTCTGGGGCACAACAACTTCTTTTTCGGCTTAAAAATGTTTCAAAAATTATCAAAATTCTCAGTGAAAAAGGTAAAGAAAATTAGTGAAACAAAAAGAAAGTGCATTTTTTAGTAATACCAAAATTTCCTTCGTTCTAGAAGCATTCTAGAACTTGTGTTCTATTAGGAATTACAGAAACTACTTTAATTTGAAGGACTTAAATCGAGGGAAGACACGTAAGTAAACAAGTGAATCAAGTGAATATATTTATGAATAACAAAGGAAATTTCCATCTTTCTTTCAGAATGGTTGGTTTTATCGTATAGGTTTATCGTTTTTGTACGTACACTGTGGTATCTTGTGTAAGTATTAATATAATAATTTATTTATATAATTTTTCATTAATTTTATTCTTAGGTAATACCCCCAGAGAATCTGTTTGATGGAACCCGTCTCAATGTGACGTGAAGTCTGGCATCGGGATTCGCGGATAACCCTTTTTATAAATAAAAAAAATGGTCCAAGATTGTCAATTGAAATATTGCTATTTTCTCTGCGTGTAGTCTGTCGACGCTTTTCAAACACGTGATCGATCTTTGGGGGGCGTTGGGCGGCGGTCTCTCTTTGGCTTGTTGTTTGGTTCGAGAGCAGGCAAAGGGGGAGAGGGGGGGAAATGTGGGCGGGGCTGGCTGGGCTGGGTGACTTTATGGGAAGGGGAGGAGGTAGGATTCGGTGGCAAAGCCAGCTCAGGTGTCTTTTGGAGCAAGTTTTCGTGCCAAAGTTTGTTCAGCACAAACATCAAATGTTGCGCCTCCCTCTCTTTCTCTCAGTCTCTCTCTCTCTCTCTCTGCAATTTTCTTTTATTTTCTCCGTTTTTGCGCCGCTTTTCATGTTTTCTGTTGGTTTGTTTGTTTGCCTGTTTGTTTGCCTGTTTGAGTTGCTGTTAGAATTATTTTTTCCACTAACGCAAAGCCGCCGCCGCGCCACTGAGAAGATACAATGTGAGATAGGTGCATATGTGGCACTCGTCCTTGTTTGCTAGTACATATGAAAGGCAAACAAGCATAGATTTAATGCAGCTCTTCTTGCTATCTCGTTCTCTCTCTCTCTCGTTGTCTCTTTTCTCGTGGGTCCTTTGCCCCGTCTTAAGTCGCATCCCTTTTCTCTCTGTGTGTGTGTCCAAGTCTTTGTGTGTGCTGTACTCTGCTGTTGTCCTGGTCCAGGATGCTTCGTTAACTTGGCAAATTCCCTTGTCCTGTGCCATTTATTATTACCCCAAGACAGTTTGCTCTCGATGTTTGTAGAATGCGCCTTCCTATATCAATATATTTAGTATATATATGCATGGGTCCTGGCCAGGTCCTTTCTAGATCATTTCTGAGTAGTTATGGAAAGTAGTTTCTCTGGGAAAGAGCTTTAGGAAGTTATATCTTCTTAGCAGGATAATTAAACACATATATTCCTCATATATTGATCATATTTTCCTCATATTTTCCTAATATTTTCCTCTCTTACTTATTTTAAATATTACTATCTATTTCCCTTCATCTAACTTGTTCTTCCCTTGCTTTAGCTTTCAGAGACATCCCCCTAATATATTCTTTATCTGCAATTGCAGTTGTATCTGCACCTATATCACCTGCATTTCACACACACACACACACATCCCTGTGTGTATGTCCATGTCCATCACTCGCACAGCACCCTAATGAAGCAATAGTCAAACAGTGAACACCCGAAAACCGAGGGCAAAGTCCCGTCTCTTTTGTGTGATTCCCCCTTTTTTGCTAGCTGCATTTGCCAACCATCACCTTAGCCATCATGTGTGAATCTGATTTGAAATCATGACTGCATCCGGCATTACGTTTACACGCAGCTTACTAATTATAATAAAAATTTACTATTTTATATTGGAAAATTAAATTAATAATTAATTAATTAATTATTTTTATCAAGAAAAATCCTTTTCAAAATATATTTCGCGCTTCTAAAAACATTTTCTGCTTTTCTACTAGGTATTCAGTATTTTTGAGCCTACTTTTAAGCGTCAGAATTGGAGATTTTTCGATAATTAAAACCTATTTGAACAAATACCATAAGAAAATAAATTTAAACATTATTTAAATACGTAAGAAATAACTTTTGAGGATAACTCACAGATATTTCAGCCCTTCTACTGCCTGGAAAATATTATTGAGCATACTTTTAGGTGCCGTAATTAGAGATTTCTATTTAGTAAATGTTTTTGTAATTAAAATTATTTCAAAATAATTAAGTTTATTATTAAGAATCATATTTTAATTTTTAAAATATTTCAACTGATGTTAAGCGTTTTTCAGCTTTTTTAATGCCTCCCCGCTATTTCTTAGCATACTTTTAAGCAGCGTAAGTAGAGATTTACATTTTTTTTGCCAATTCCTCTATAAAAATCATGACAAAAATAAATTTAAAATATTAAGAATTATTTTTTAAAAATATTACCACTATTTTATAAGTGCATATCTGAGATATTTCAGAACTCTTTATTTTCTGGCATACTTTTAGGTGCCACAATTAAAGATATTAACTTACAACTCATAATTTATCTTAAATTTCATCTTAAAATTATTAATATAAATATCTTTTACTGAGATATATATCCTATCCTCATTATATTATGCAAATCCAAAACGCATAAACGCCATATCAGTTGTCCTTTGAGCTCACTTGTCACTCAGCCTTCGTCCTTGGGGGAGAAGGATTCTACTTTTGCTTTCGCTTTGCCTGGCTTTGCTTTTGGACTCTGATTTAGTCAGCTCAGGTGAATGATATAAACTTAATTGCGGAAATTGGGTTAAAAAAAAAGTAAAAACTAAAAAAAGAAACCCAGGGCAGAACTTTGACACATGTGCGGGTTAAATAAATTTATGTGCGTCCAAGTGTGTTTGTGTGCGTCGTTCATTGACTTGACTTGACTTCACTTCGCCCCATTGGCAGGAATAAAAATGGGAGCAAGGCGAAAGTTTTTCGCACACGTCGCAAAAGGCGGGTTTACGGGCTCCGGTCTCTCTCCGATTCCCCGGATTCCCCTCCCCCCGTTTGTGTGTGTGTGTGCCGTGCCCGTTGTAATGCAATTTTATTTCATTTCATTGAAGGCAAAGTTTTCCCTTCGAATTCTTTTACTTAACTTGTTCCTTCTTCAGCAACACACACACACACTCTCGCACTTGTACAATGCTTTTCCTACGCTTTTCCTTTGGATTTTCACCCCCGGACAGGGACAAATTTGCCATTGCCTCTAACCCACTAAGACGATGTATGCAAATCTTTGATGTAAGTAATAATTTCCTTCCTTTCCGAATAAAGAAAAATGTACACACACACGGAGAAGGAGGAGGATTAGGATGAGGATGAGGAGGAAAAAGCCAGCGAAATGGCAGATGAAACTTTGCGATTGTAAATTATGAGCGTGTGAATATTGCTTTTAGCATTTTGGCAAAAGTTCCGGCACTGATTTCACCAAATTTCGGCAAAACGTCAACGGATAAATCAAGGCACAAAAGGAGTTTGAGTTGGAAGACCAAAGACCAAGTCAAAGTCTGGTCTGTCATGGGTTAAAGGTGGCATGTGGCACACTGAGCAATTCAGGCGTCTAAATTATAAATGGAAACTCGTAAGGAAATTAGCCTTTATTTTATTGTTTGGCAAATTACCTTTCAGGAAAAGACTGGATGAAAAAAAAATGCATAAAATTATCATCAATTCTGGATCAATCTTAAATGTAACTTCAATTTGGGGAATCAAAAACAACAACCTCAACAAATGCTAACTCGTTTTTCCTTAGAGCCAAAAAGATAAAGTTTTATCACATTTAATTACTCGAATTACCAACCAAAATGTGAGGCAAGGAGATGGTTGTTGGTGGCCAGTTGGTGTGAGGTTTCTCCGTCCTTTGAGAAGCATAACTTTTGAGTGGGTCTGTATATCAAATATGCCAAGTTTGGCAATGTAAATAAAGTTATTCGGGGAGCTTTTCATTAAGAGAATAGAATGCGTGAAAGTTGCCATAAAATCAAGCTCTAACTGGGTTAGTTCAAGACTCTGTAGGTAAAAGGGCAAGAGATTTAATTATAAATTAAAAAAAAATAAAAAATAAACAAATAAAAAAGACAGGCGAATTAAAAAAAAAATGTATATAAAATATATAAAAATAATATATATAAAATAAGAATAAAATAAACAAAAACAAAATAAATACATAAAAAAAATAAGAAATATAAATATAAAAAATAAATTTAAAAAAAACACAAAAACAAAAAAATATATATTTAAAAAATAATAATAATAAAAATTAAAGTTACTAAATATTACTTATTAGACGTAACATTGTATATTATATTTAATTTTTTTAAATAAAAAAATTTAAACAAAAAAAAATAAAATTTTAAAAAATATAACTAAATTAATTTATTTAGTTAAATAAAATAAATAAATAGATAAAAAATATTTTTAAAAATATAACAATAAATAAAAGTAAATAAATAAATAAAAATAAAATAAAATTCAAGCAAACAAAATTCCTTATTTTAACACAAAAACAAAACTAATAAAAAAAACCAAAGCAAAAAAAAAACTTAAAAAATTCCAATTGAAAAAGTCATAAATCCCTCCTCATTCTTTTTGCCTTGCCTATAGGAAGTTGAAAAATCAGAGCTGACAAACCGTAAACGATTAACGAAACCCAGCTGGTTCCGATTTGTAGCATTTCCGGAATTTTAGCCCCATGGCCAATCGATGCCAAAAGGCTGCAGCTCCGACGGCGCTTTAAGCCTCAGCCTTTTGCCGACTGGCTTTAAAATGCAATTTTGAAACAAACTGCGATCCACTCGAATGCGGGCTTGGTCGAGTGCCGCTGTCCGGGTGGATAGCCACCCCATTTTGCACCCCTCTCTGAACCCCTTCTGGGCACCCATAACCCATCAGTTTCCCATTTTCCGGGCCGAAACCAAAACCACCATCGTTGACGGCGTCTACCCCTTTCTCATTGCCCGTGGACATTTTCGCACTCGCATAACTTTGACAGCATTTTTGCAGAATTACAATTAACTGCCTAGCCTCCAATGGGCAATGAGCGGGATTGCGGAGGGGAATGGAGAGGGAACAGCGGGGAGGGGGCAGTAGGACGAAAAACCAGGAGCAGCCGTTGCAGTTGCAGCCTAAAAGTATGCAACCACATTCGCAGGCAAACACTCTGTGGGGCGAAGGCAGAGATGTCTAGTTAGATATATATTTAAATTTTTTTTTAAATATAAATTATTATTTGGAACCAAAAGAAATTAAAAATAAATATATAAGAACCAAATAAAAAAAAAAAAAAAAAAAAATAAATTTATATAAAAAATTATATATAATAAAAAATACATAATACAAAAATATAAAAACAAAAATATAAAAAAAAAAAAAAAAATATAAAAAAAAAAAAAAATATAAAAAAAAAATATAAAATAAAAAAATATATAAAAAAAAATTTAAAATAAAAATATATAAAATAATAAAAAATATATATATATTTTTAAAATAAAAATAAAAAAATACAAAATATATATAAATATTTAGGAAACAAATTTTATATAAAAAAATTTTAATAAAAAAGTTTTACTAACAAAAAATATTAAATAAAAAATTTTAATAACAAACAATTTTAAATGAATAAAATATAAAAAAAAAGAATACATAAAAAATATATTAAATAAAAAAAATTAAATAAAAAAACATTAATAAAGAAAATTTAATAATAAAAATATATTCAATTAAAAAATAAAAATAAATAAAGAAAATATTAAACAAGCCAAGCTTTGGTGGAAAGTCTAAAGCTTGGAAAATTAAAAGAAAATTATCTCAAGCTGTCTGGATTAATTCGTCTTATGTCCATAATAAATTTTAAACGCTTTATAGAGCAAGAAATCGATTTTGTATATTTTTAATATAATTTTAATTCTCCTAAATTTATTTAATTAAAAAAAAACATATTTCAGAATTTTTTTACATAAGAAATTAGTAAAAATATTTTTGTTTTCAGATTTTCTATTTTAATTCATAGTTAAAAGTCTAGATCGATTCGTCTTTTATAGAATTGCAAATGATTTACCAATTCAAATTTTAACATTTTACATATTCCAAATAGATTTATTTCTTCATCATTTAACTTTTTCCCTTTGTTTTTCCTGACATTTCAATTCAGAAAGTTTTGTTTGTTCTGAATAGTTAACTAACCTAACTAAAACTAAGCTAATTAAAGCTTAACTATTTAACTATTTATTTACAAAACATCAAAAGTTAGTTCATTTAATTTCGCCTTGATCAAGATATTAATTAATTAAATTTTCAGTAAAACCGAACAAGTCCTTCGCTGTCCCTACAGTTCGATATGTCCTGTGTGTTTTCTTTTTTTTTTTCTCTTTTTTGTTGAAATGGGTTGCTAGGCATCACTGACAAATGCGAATGTGTATAGAGTGGGGGAAGGGGTGGGGAAAATGGAAATGGGGAAATTTGTTCCATTTTACGCTTTCTACACAAAAACAATAAATCGCTCACAGCATCAACAGCGTCAACTTTCCTAATGCAGCGGGTCGCTGCCTGTTTGGCTGGGAGAGACCCGTTCGCTGGATGTTGAATGTTGAATGTTATATGTAGGATGTAGAATGTTGGCCATGGTGGCTCTCCTGGCTACTAGCTGCTAGCTGCTAGCTGCCGGCTGCCAGCTGGATGTGGGTATCGCGAAAATGGTGGCTTCTAAAACCGGTGGCAAACTGCCACCAGGATGCCAGCAATTGAGGCTGAAGCCATTTTAACTGCCACTTGAATGGTAACTAAAAAAAAAAAAGCAAAAAAAAGGCACAACAAAAATAAACTATATGCATCATGTGCACGAGTCTTCGGGGGCTAAAACTGTAAATTGTAATTTTCAACTTTTAAGTGGCTGCTACGTGTGAGGCTTTGGCTCTCGCTCTAACTTCTCCCTCTCTCTCTCTCTCTACACACAGCTGTTGGCAGAATGGAAATGGGAAAATGAAAATGAAAATCAAGATGGAAATTGCTTTGCCGCCATTTTTCACGCCCACTTCGGTGTTGACAAATGGTTTGGAAGGGTTTGAACGGTATTAATTTATAATTTAGCAGGCTTCAACTTAAATATTTAGACATCTAAAATAAAGTTATAATTTTTTTAAATAAAAGAAAATATATATACTTATTGCAGAGTTTAGTTTTTAAATAATTTAAAAAGTATTTTTCCTCTAGGAAATATTTTCTTAATTAATTAAAAAATGATTTTTAAGCTAGGAAATATTTTAAAAAATTAAATAGGGATTTTCCCTCTGGGAAATAATTTATAAAATATTATAAAAGGGATTTTTCCTCTAGGAAATATTTAATTAATAAATAAAAAAGGATTCATACTTTAGGAAATATTTAATAAATAATTAAAAAATTATTTTTCCTCTAGAAAATATTTTATTAAATAATTGAAAAAGGAATTTTCCTCTAGGAAATATTTTAAATAATTGAAAACTAATATTTCCCCAAGGAAATATTTTATAAAATAATAGAAACAGGATTTATCTTCTAGGAAATATTTTATTAAATAATTAAAAAATGATTTTAGAACTAAGAAATATTTTAAATAATTGAGAAAGGATTTAATCTGTAGGAAATATATTGGTAAATAATTAAAAAGGAATTTTTCATATGGGAAAAATTGTATAAAATAATTGAAAAAAAGAGGTTTCCCTCCAGGAAATATTTTAAATAACTGAAAAAGGATTTTTCCTCTAGAAAATCAATAATTAATAAATAAAAAAGGATTTTTCCCCTATAAAATATTTTATTAAATATTTGAAAAAGAAATTTTCCTATAGGAAATATTTTAAATAATTGAAAACGAATATTTCACTAAGGAAATATTTTATAAAATAATTGAAACAGGATTTTTCTTATAGAAAATATTTCATTAAATAATTGAAAAAGGATTTCTCATCTAGGAAATATTTTATTAATAAATAAAAAGAGTTTTTACTTTAGGAAATATTTAATAAATAATTCAAGAATTAAATTAAATTTAAATAAATTAAATTCAATTAAATTAAGCTACAGGCAGCAGGTTGTATTATTTATAAATAAAATTCAATTTTATTGCCAAAACATATCTGACCTGCAATTTTTCAGAGACAAAAAAAAAACCTCAACCCAAACTCAACACGAACTCACACCTGCCGTAGGGCAGACCAGAGATTTGGCAGTGTTGTTGGCCAACACAGTGGAAGCGGGCCTGATTGAGTGGGTCAGTGGGCGAGAAAAGGGCCAAGTGAAAGTGAAGTAAACGTGATTGAAATTTTATCTCTGACAAGAAATCGAAAGATATATTTAGCAGCCGCAGCTGTGAAAGCCGGGTCACCCGGGTCATCGCCCCCAAAAGTCCCTCAGCCGCAATCTCAGCAGCCACACACAAATGCGGATGGATGAGAGTGCGATGGTGTGTGTGTGCGGTGTGTGTGTGTGCGTTGTGTTGCCAATTCAATTCTTCAACGGGTTACCCACTTTGGCGTTAACCGTTACGTCGCCATCTTTCTTCCTCCGGTTGAAACCCCCTCTGGAGCCCCGTGTTATTTGCATTGAAATGTTGAGTAATTGGAAAACCAATCTGAAGCATCTGCAGTTCTTGTTTTGCATACCTCTGGCACCTTCCTAACCACCTCAATGCCCCACACACACACACACGTCCGCCCGCTCGATTTTTCAAACCGAAATCAACGTCGCAATGGCAGTCGCAGTCGCAGTCACAGGAGCGGAATGGAGCGAGAAGGGGTAAAGCCTGGAGGACGATGCAAATGTGCACGGAGGAAAAAAATGTATACAAAAGAATAAAAAACTACTTAAGAGACAGCAACGATTAAATATCAATAAATAAAAAATAATAAAATTAAAAACGAAAAAGACAAATCCCTAAAAAAATCGAAATACTTTTTGGTTAGACAAGAAAAGCTAAAAATCAATCGATTTTCAGTAAATCGATTAAAAACAAGTTTACAATAAAATCGATAAAAATCAAAAACGGAAATAATAATTAAAATAATTATTTTATTATCATAATTAACATATCAGAGCTGAAAATAAATCGATTTTCAGTAAATCGATTTTTTCTACAAAATTTTACAAAATAAATCGATTAAAATCGAAAAGTAACAAAAATTAAAAAAATATATATGTTTATAATTATTATTTTATTAAATTTACTAACATATTAAAGCTGGAAATATATCGATTTTCAGTGAATCGATTATCGATTAAAATCAAAAAAGGGAACGAATTAAAAAAATATACATTTATAATAATTTTATTATATTAACTATTAAAGCTGGAAATGAGTTAGTTTTCAGTGAATCGATTATTTTCGATGTTTTACTTAATTGAACAAAATGAATAGATTATAATATCGATTTCATTTTCAGCTCTAATTTAATACAAATACAAATACACACAAAAATAAATAAAAAACCCTTTAAAAAAATCGAAATACTATTTAAATAAACAAAAAATAAGCATTTTCTCTCACTGCCTGACTTTGATAGGTGATGGGTGGGTCTGCAATGGGTCGACAGGTTGTTTTCGCTCGTGGCGCTTCACTTGCTAAAAATAAATTGTTTTTAAATAGCTCGCATCGCTCGACACGCTGCTCGTCGGGTGTCTGCTGCAGACACCGATACCGATTCCAATTCCGATACCCCTTATTTACGCCCACCCAGCCACGTTTTATCGGTATAACAAAGGAAATGAGCCTGAGAGAAACAACAGAGCAGGGCCAAAGGGCTGACAAAAGCCAGCAATGAACGCGCACTTCCGCTGGAGGGCCCCTCGCCAATTCCTGAACTTGTTTGTTACCAATTTTATTATAAATGTTTTGTGTTCACTCTTCTTTGAATCTCCTTTTTGAATTGTTTTGCCACGGAAATTGTAAATAAATCAATTTTACTCCTACTTTTGAATTTATTTAAAAAATATTAATGTCATTGGGTGATTTTCTCACCGTAAAAATAATAAAAAATTTAGAAAATTCCACCAGGCTGAAAATAAAAAGAGGGGAACCCAAACTTAGCGCTTTCGTTTGCTGTTTTGCTGCTTTCCGTACTGATCGCAGGACTGCCTTGAAGTGGCAGCAGCACCACCACCACGATTGCTCCGATTGCTGCGATCCTTCTGCCGTGCTCCTCTCACCTTTTCCGGGCTTGGCGGCAGACTTTCATTACAAATTGGGCTTTCGTCTTGGGAACGGACGAGTTCATCGAAGGGCGCATAGTTCTCCATGGAGCTAAAGCCGTGGAAGGATGGATCATTCGGATCAGTTTGTTGCGTTGAATTGAAGGAGGGACTAAAAGTGGGCATTGTCATGTCATCGATCATGCCATGTCCGTAGCTATGGTCGGGATTGTGATAAGTTCGGGTCACTGCAGAGGTGGACTTGGTTATTGTGACCTGCGTCACTTGGGGAGAAGCTTCGCGGCATGAATCCTTTGTTGTCGATGGAGCACAGTTCTCAGCGGTGGTTGGCTTCCTGGGCGTAGACTTCGATTTGGTCCGCGACTTTTCCGCCTTGCGACAAGTGGACTTGGCCTTGGGTTTCTCTCTTCTCGTGGAGCTCATGGGCTGTGCTGAGCATTCGATAAATTCCCCCGACTGACTCTCATCATAGTGATTTTGCGAGCGATAGGGATCCGATATGTCCTCCAGCCTTTCGCTGGGCATCGTCATCTGACAGGGATTATAGGACGATTCGTCCTGAAAAGAGGGCATAGTAACATCCTCCAGGCGACCACCACTCTCATCTATACCCGGACACCTAGAGATATTGCCGAAGCCCGAAGTTTGGTCCTGGAACGAGGCAGGAACACTCTCGTCAGCCAACTGCTGCGTGGGGAAGGATATGTCTGGCCCACGTCTTTGGTAGGGCATCTGGGATGCGTTGTAGGACATCTGTATCTCCTGCGGCATAGACACATCCTCCAGGCACCACTCGTCCGTCATCCTGGGGCTACGTCGGCTTGTCGCACCGGAAGTATTTGCCCCCTGGAGGCAATCTCTAATGCTTGCAGCAGGTGCTGATAAACGGGGTCGAAGTCGTTCCCCCTCTCTATCCGACACACACAACATGGACGATGGGTTGGAATAAGGTCGCCGCTGCCGGAGGCTCGAGGGCACGCCCATTCCCTCCTCACAGCTACGGCCTCGTCCCGATGATCCGGCGAATCCGCCAAACGACGGCATAGTCATGTCCTCCAGGCGTTCATTCGTCATCGACATTTGCTGTTGCCGGAAGCTACAACCCCGCGATGGCGCAGACCCGGAGACTTCAGCATACGACGGCATGGTCATCTCCTCCAAGCATTCATTGGTCATAGCTCCCTCTCTCGAGGAGAAAGGCATGTATATGTCATGAGGACACTCATAACGACCTGTACTGCCAAAAGATGGCATGGTTACATTTTCTAGAAATTCATCCCCGGAGACTGTTCCTCTACAACCTGAACTACCAAAAGTAGGTGCTGTTATGTCACTGATATTTTGCTGTCTCCTGGAGGTTCTACATCCACGCAAGCTCGACCTATTTAATACCCCACCAACCGAAGATGGCATTGTCACATCTTGTAGACGTTCGCTGGTCATAGAACTTTGCATTCGACGAGGACTTTTGCCTTTCGAAAAGTCATCATACGACGGCATTGTTATGTCCTCCAGACACTCATTGTTCATAGATCCTTGACGTCGACTAAAACTCTTGCCTCTTGCAGATCCAGAGACTCCTCCAAACGAGGGCATTGTCATATCGTCAAGACGTTCGGTGGTCATAGATCTCTGTATACGACCTGGACTTTTGCCCCTACAAACTTTAGAAACTTCTCCCAACGAGGGCATTGTAATATCGTCTAGACATTCGTCGATCATAGATCTCTGCTGTCGACTAAGGCTTCTGTCTCTAGATGATGCGAACGAGGGCATTGTCATATTCGCTAGACATTCGTTGGTCATAGATCTCTGCATTCGACACGGACTATTGGCCCTAGAAACACCAGAGACTTCTCCAAAAGAAGGCATTGTCATATCCTCTAGGCATTCGTTGGTCATAGATCTCTGTTGTCTAGCAGATGCGTTGCTTCTTGATACTTCCCTATAGGAAGGCATTGTCATATCATCTAGACATTCATTGGTCAAAGATCTTAGCTGTAAACCAGGACTTTTTCCTCTAGATGATCGGGAAACTCTACTTTTGTTGGTCATAGATCTCTGCTTTCTATCAGGACACTTGGCCTGTGATGATCCGGAAACTTCTCCGAATGAGGGCATTGTCATATCATCCAGACATTCGTTGGTCATGGATCTTGTTATTCGATCAGGACACGAGGCCCTTGATGCTCCAGAGACTTCTTTGAAAGAGGGCATCGTCATATCATCCAGACATTCGTTGGTCATAGATCTCTGTTGTCTTGCAGGACCCTTGCTCCTTGATACGTCCTCATAGGAAGGCATCGTCATATTATCCAGACATTCGTTGGTCATAGATCCTTGCATTCGACCCGGAGTTTTGGCCCTCGAAACACCGGAGACTTCTCCAAAAGAGGGCATTGTCATATCCTCTAGGCATTCGTTGGTCATAGATCTCTGCATTCGATCAGAACACATAACCCTTGATGATCCAGAGATTTCTTGGAACGAGGGCATAGTCATATCATCTAGACGTTCGTTGATCATAGATCTTTGTTGTGGGCTAAGACTCCATTCTTTACATTCTCCGGACATTTCTGCAAAGGAAGGCATCGTCATATCCTCCAGACATTCGTTGGTCATCGATCTTCGCTTTATACCAGGACCTCTAGATGATCGGGCAGCTCTACTTTTGTTGGTCATGGATCTCTGCTTGCCATCAGGACACTTGGCCTTTGATGATCCTGAAACTTCTCCAAACGAGGGCATTGTAATATCGTCTAGACATTCGTCGATCATAGATCTCTGCTGTCGACTAAGACTCCTGTCTCTAGATGATGCGAACGAGGGCATTGTCATATCCGCTAGACATTCGTTGGTCATGGATCTCTGCATTCGACACGGACTTTTAGCCCTTGAAACACCAGAGACTTCTCCAAAGGAAGGCATTGTCATATCCTCTAGGCATTCCTTAGTCATAGATCTCTGTTGTCTACCAGATCCGTTGCTTCTTGATACTTCCCTATAGGAAGGCATTGTCATATCATCTAGACATTCGTTGGTCAAAGATCTTTGCTGCAGGCTAGGACTCTTGCCCCTAGATGATCGGGCAACTCTACTTTTGTTGGACATGGATTTTTGCTTTTGATCAGGAAATTTGACCTTTGAGGATCCTGAAACTTCTCCGAACGAGGGCATGGTCATGTCATCTAGGCATTCATTGGTCATAGATCTCTGCATTCGGTCAGGACACTTGGCCCTTAGTGATCCAGAGACGTCTTGGAATGAGGGCATTGTCATATCGTCTAGACGTTCGTCGATCATGGATCTTTGCTGTCGACTAAGACTCCTATCTCTACATGATGCGAAGGAGGGCATTGTCATGTCATCTAGGCATTCGTTGGTCATAGATCTCTGCTGTCTAGCTGTTCCGTTGCATCTTGATACTTCCTTATAGGAAGGCATCGTCATATCATCTAGACATTCATTGGTGAGGGATCTCTGCATTCGACATGGACTTTTGGCCCTAGAAACTCCAGAGATTTCTCCAAAAGAGGGCATTGTCATATCCTCAAGACATTCGTTGGTCAAAGATCTCTGTTTTCTAGAAATACCCTCGCCTCTCGATACGTCCTTATAGGAAGGCATTGTCATGTCCTCCAGACATTCGTTTGTCATAGATCTTTGCTTTATACAAGGACTCTTGCCTCTAGATGTTCGAGCAACTCTACTTTTGTAGGCCATGGATCTCTGCTTTCTATCAGGACACTTGGCCTGTGATGATCCGGAAACTTCTCCGAATGAAGGCATTGTCATATCATCCAGACATTCGTTGGTCATAGATCTCTGTTGTCTAGCAGGACCCTTGCACCCTGATACGTCCTCATAGGAAGGCATCGTCATATCATTTAGACATTCGTTGGTCATGGATCTCTGCATTCGATCAGGACACTTGGCCCTTGAAGATCCAGAGATTTCTTCGAATGAGGGCATTGTCATATCGTCTAGGTATTCCTTGGTTAAAGATCCCTGCTGCCGACCTATACTTCGACCCCTGGATGCTGTAGTATTTTCTCCAAAGGATGGCATTGTAATATCGTCAAGACACTGGTTGATCATAGATCTCTGTTGTTGACTCAGAGTCCCGTCTTTAAGTGCTCCAGAAACATCTCCGAAGGAGGGCATAGTCATATCGTCAAGGCATTCGTTGATCATAGATCTCTGCTGTCGACTAAGGCTCATGTCTCGCGAGGCTCCAGAATGCCACGAGGGCATTGTGATATCCTGCAAACATTCATTCGTCATGGATCTGTTTTGTCGACTAGAACACCTTCTCTTTGATGAATCGGAAACGCCTCCCAACGAGGGCATTGTCATATCGTCTAGACATTCGTTAGTCAGGGATCTTTGCTGCCTAGCTCTACTTTGACCCCTGGATACTCCGGAATTTCCAAACGATGGCATTGTCATATCATCTAGACATTCGTTGGTCATTGCTCCACGAAAAGAACTAGGCATGGATCTTTGCCTGACAGATCTACATCCTGATATATCGCCGCATGATGGCATGGTCACATCATCCAAACACTCATTGGTCATGGGTCGTCTTCCCTGACAAAGACTTCTATTCGGTGACGATGAGCGGAGCACTCTACCAAACGACGGCATGGTTAAATCTCCCAAGGATTCGCTGGTCTTTGAAATGCACTTTGACTGGGCAAAGGTTAAGGTAGTTCTATCGCCGGGACATCTGCTAGTTGATTTTGATCTCTGCGTTCGCCTGGGTGTTGTCCTGTCAAATTGGGGCATAGAGATATCCTCCAAGCATTCTGTTCTAGTGGAGTTGGCCATTGAAGGCGGTGTTATATCCCATAGATCTTGGCTGGGCATCGACATCGACATAGACTGTTGTTTTCTTGAATTCTTCTGCTCCTCAGGATCATTGTCGCTGCATAACATTGGCATAGACTCATCTTCCAGGCGGGACTGCTCAAAGGAGGGCATTGACTTATCTGCCAGATTTTCGGATTGGTGGCAAGCATCACATGCAGAAGCCGGCATATCGTTCTAGGGTTTTTAACATAATTATAATCTCATATTCATTTTCACTTCAGAGAAGTATGTGTAATAATGTGATCTTTAAAGATTGTTCTACTTGATTCAATTTTCAACTTTAAATATAAAAAAAAGTGTAGAAGAATAGTCGTAGTAACGAAATTGTTTTATTATTTCTAAATTTTAAAAGACATTTTTCCCCCGTAATAAATAACACCATGTATTATATTAATATATAGAACTCTATAAACATTATACTGAATTTTAAATTTAAAAAATTTAAATTTGTTAATTTTTTGTTATGATTTTAACGAAAAAAAAGCTTCTAACTAAAATCATAAAACCCTCACAGTGGTATTAAATTTTACATTTATTTAAATTTTTTTCAATTTTTTTGTACGATAAATTACGATAAAATTAGGGAAAAAATTTAAAAAAAATAATAATAATAATAAATTCTCCTAAAACATGTCTAATTCGACTCGCCTGTTGATGCTGATCAAGAGTTTATAGGGTCGCAAATGACTTCTTCACTGTATAAAATCATAATACCCTACCAGAAGACCAGAAATATTCGGTTTTTTTAAATCGATATTTAATATGGTAATTTTTTTGATAAATCAAACCCTAAAAACACCATAACTAAGTCAAAATAGCATCAAATTCAGTTCGGTAAACGTTTCTATGCTAGTTTTTTCGTGGTTAAAAAATCTGCAAACTAAATTTTAAATTTTAGAAAATGAAATTTTTTGTTAATTTTTTAGGACAATTTTAACGATAATTTTAAGAAAAAAAATTTTCAAAATTAATTTTCTCCCAAACATGTCTAATTCGACTCGCCTGTTGATGCTGATCAAGAATATATATGATTTATAGGGTCGCAAATGACTCCTTCACTGTATAAAATCAAAATACTCCTCGAGAAGCCCTGAAATATTCGGTTTTTTAAAATCGATATTTATATATGGTAATTTTCTCAATAAATCAAAGCCTAAAAACACCATAACTAAGCCAAAAAAGCAGCAAATTAAGTTCGGTAAACGTTACTATACTAGTTTTTTGTAGATCAACAAATCTGTAAACAAAATCTTAAATTTTATAAAATTAAATTTTTATGTGAATTTTTTAGGACAATTTCAACGACGATTTTGAGAAAAAAAATTTTCAAAATTAAATTTCTCCCAAACATGTCCAGGTCGACTCGGTTTTTGATGCTGATCAAGAATATATATGATTTATGGGGTCGCAAATGACTTCTTCAGTAAATAAAATCATAATACCCTACCAGAAGACCAGAAATATTCGATTTCTTTTGTATTGATATTTATAGATATTTAATAAATAAAATTTTAACACTCACCTGTTGATCACAGGGCGTAGTCTCGGGCTCATTTTTTTCACCACACTTTTCCGCTTGCTGTTGAGCCTGAGCTGAGCTGCACCACAGATGATCCCTCAGTCGCCTGAAGCGACCGGAGATCTCATTATACACACAATCCATGTAGTTAGAGCTTTCCTTTTCGGAGCTAGTCTTGGAGTCATCCTCAATCATACATGGCGGCGATACATCCTCGAGACATTCACTGGTACCAGTCATTTGCGATTCCATGCTGAGATCAAAGCCCGGCGAGGACATATCCGCCAGACACTCTTCGGGCAGATTGCTGATATTTATTTCAGCAGGACACGGCTGACGGCGTTGAGGTTGCCTAAAGTTTTCCATGGCAGCGGCATTTGTTTCATCTATAATTAAAATTAAATTTTAATTAAAAAAATGATTATTAATTAATATATAAATATTTTTAAACTTACAAGTCATATCACGAAACATGCGTGGATGCTGCCACTCCTCGTTGCCCGTTAAACCGAAATCATTGGGATTGTATTGAGGGATTTGACCACGAAAACCAGGCCGTAAATGCTCTGGCGTTCGTGTGAGATCATCGCAAACATTTAGGCCATTTTTGGGGGTTCTGGTAAAGGTAAAGAATAATATTATAAAGTAAATATTAAACATTTTATTTGTTTATAAATATAAAATACCTGTTTAGATTATCTGAGCATTTCCTGGACGAAGACTGGTTACCATTGCCACCACTAACAAGGTTTATAGAACAGTTTTAGTTTTATATAGTTAGGAATTCTACTCTCTCACCTCTTGGTCCTTCTTGTCTTTTTCAACTGGTTCATTTTTCAGCCTGGAAATGGAACAAAATTTTGAAAGAAAAACAAATATTTTAGAAATGTCTAATGTGGTTAGGCCTAGTAAAGGTAGGAAAGTAAACTAAAAAATATAGGCCATTAAGTCAGTGACTGCTTCGATTCGGTTGTCGTGGCTATAACGATTTTCATTTTCATTTTCACTTTGCAATTCTATTTAGTGAATAGCAAAGTGTGTCAAGCATCCGTGACTCTATTTCTTATCCAATTAAACAATTATGGAGAGCTCATTAAGACAGGTTGTTTGAGTAGCGCCGCTTCCGCTTTATTCCACAGATGCAATTAGCGGGCATAGTTTTTATCATTCTTCAGTCTACTTTGGCTTCATTGGCTTTAGGACAGGGGACAGGACAGGGACAGGACACAGTACGCCACAGGAGATAGAATCCTAAAGGTGTTCGTTCGAAGTCGTCACACGAAACCGCTTTCATTTCCGCCAAACACAATTGCATCATTAGCGATGCAATCTCCGTTACTTAACGTAACCGCAACATGCCGGAAATGAAATCCGAGGCAAGCTGACGGCGGCTCCTCCTCCACCATCGCTGGGCTAAAAACTTTGCGCCAACCCACGGTGAACGACTCGACAAGTGGCAGAACCAGCGAAATGCTAGCGTTAAATCAGCGTTGCTGCCAGCGAAAAAACCCAAGTAGAAGGTAAAATATGACGTCGCCATGTGGCCCAAGGAATAGTCGAAAGAGGATAAGGTATATTCCGGCTCAAGCCGGAAAGCGAACGCAGAAATAATCGAATGAAGGGACCAGAAAACCAGCTGTGTGAGTCGAAGAGCTATTACGCTGGGCCCGCTTCATTTAGCCCGTAGCTTGGCGATAGGGTCAGAAGCTGGAGCCTGACTCTGAGCAGCAGCAGGAGCGGAGCAAAGGCATGTCCTGGGGCGTCAGTCATCTGCAAATATTTGACTTAAGCTTGGCTAAATACATGCACACATGGGGACAAGCGAGGGGAGCATCATTACTTGATATGGTTTACTATAAGGTAATGCCTTTTTTCTAATATCAAACTTTAGCTTAGATATAGAAATTTTTCCTTGCAACTCTTAAAAATTAAAACAAAATTGTATATATATATAAATTTTTCTAACAACTTTTAAAATTTAACTTTTAAGTATTTTACAATAACTTTTAATATTTTAAAAATTTTTTCTATATAAATAGAATTCTTTTTAAGAACTTATAAAATTTTAAAATATTTTTATATATATAGAAATTTTTCATTAAATTAAATAACATTTTAATGTATATATCAATTTTTTGGAAAAACTTTAAAAATTAAAAAAAAAAAATTAAATATGTAGAAATTTTTTCTAAGAATTTTTAAAATTTTAAAATTTGTTCTTAATGAATAGAAAATTATTTAAGCAGTTTTAAAATTTTAAAAATTTGTTGTAAATAACTTTTAAATTAAAAAAAGTTTTATGTATATAGAAATTTTTTTCTAAAATTTTAAAATTTTTTGTATATAAATTAAAATTTTTTTTTAAGAACTTAGAAAATTTTAAAATATTTATAAATATATAGAAATTTTTCTTTAAATTAAAAACTTTAAAAATAAAAAGCAAATTTTACATATATTGATAAAAAAAATTTAAGAAAGTTTTAAAATTTTAAGAAATGTGTGTAAAAAAATAGAATTTTTTTTAAGAATTTTAAAAATTTCTTTAATTTTTGCCTCTTAAATTAAATCATCTTCTGGATCGCCCCACTCGTATGACTGATGGTCTAGGGGCGTGTGCAGTTCCATGCAGCCAAGCAATCAACTGCCGCTCCAGCAGCCGCGTATTTGCATATCCTCACCTGGCCGGTTGCAGGACGCAGGACGCAGCAGCAGCTACCGTGTTGTCACTTTTCGCACCGCTTTGTGCCGCATTAATGCGCATATTAAAATGGACGCAAAGGCGAAGGCATGCAGAAACTAATGTCAGTCGTTGCCCAGAAACTTGATATTCATGTGAGGCAAACGAAGCACACAAGAACAAAAAAAATTGAATACATACAAACAAACAAAAAAAATAAAAAAAATAATTATGAACTATAAAGAAAAAAAAAGAATAAAAAATATAAAACAAATATATAAAAAAAATATATAAAAAAAATATATATATACAAACTAAAAAAGAAAAATAAATAAAATGAAATAATAAATAAAATAAAATAAAAACTAAAATAATAATAATAAATAAATAATAATAAAATAAAAAATATATATAAATAGTATTTATTAAATAAACTATAAAATCAAATGTATTTTAATACAAATTAAAGAAATTAATATTATATAAATAAATATTATATATAATTAAAAAATAATTTAAAATTAAGGAAATATTAATTTTCCTAGGTTTTTGTTAACTGTTTTAAGTACATAATAGTGTCAACTTGTTTAAAAAATATTATTTTACTTTTTTTTTTTAAATAAAACTTAAAATGTTGGCTCAAAAAATGTATAAAATATTTAAAATTTACGCATTTTTGATGGCAAAAAAAAATAGCTTAGTTCGTTTAAAAATATATTGTTTAAAAAATATTATTTTCCTTTTTTTATATAAAATTTTAAAAATTTTGATTATAGAAAATGTATAAATATTAAAGAAAAATACATATTTATATGGCAAATAAAAAGCAAAATTCGTTAAAAAAATATATATATATTTATTTAAATATAAAATATTTAACTCTTTAATAATGTTTATTTACATATCTTTTATTTTGCAACGAATTTAGGTATTTTTCCGCATATAAAACTATACAAACTGAATGTTATTGAAACGAAAAGTAAATATTGAAACATGCCAAAAAATTAAAATTCTATTTATGCCAGCAAATAAATGTATATTTTTTGACCCATATTTATTTACATAAAAAAAATAAACTAGAACCACACAGGTACCATGGTTAATTTTTTTGGCGCTGTGCAGCAACCTTTTCTTTCTTTTTTTTCGTGAGAACACAGTAGCAGGACCTCCACAAAAGGATTGCTGGCGACTGCCTCAAGGCTACAGACGACTTTTCTTCTATTTTCTAACCCCCCCCTGCAAAGTTCGGCGAACGTTTAGCTTTTGCTTACTTTTCAATTTGTCGGCGAGAAGAGGCAAGGTGGGGATTTCTTAGCAGATGTGCTTAACGGTTTCGGGGCACAACATCACATAATGCAATGGAATAACACAAAAGGAGCGCCACCATTGAGGGCTTAGGCGTGGAGCAAACATGGCCACACGGGTAGCGATTAGCGTCGACTGTATCCACCCAGGCACCTTTCTAGCTTCTGGTCCTTTTCGTTGCCGTGTGGAAGCCACAAAAGCCACGGCCACCGCAGCTTCATCAAAGATACATTATGTGTGTGTGCCATATACATATATTGTATGTGTGTGTGTGTGTGTGGGTGTGTGTGTGTGTGTGTGTGTGTGTGTGTGCATAAATTCACAAACAGAAAACATAAAACAGAGGTAGCAGAGGCCAGCCAGCCAGCAAAGCAATCAGGAAATGAAACCGAATCAATAAGTGCCAAAGTCTGGGATTGAATAAACAAAACAATTGGAGAAATCCACTCGAAACTGCCTTCCTCCCACTCGAAGGCTAAAGGCAGGGAATACCTCTCGGTTGGGAAATAATTCAACTCTAAAACTGGGATATATACAAAAGTCCTTAGACATAGAATGTCGGTAAAGAAAACTTCCCTGTTTTATTACCCTTTTGGGACAGCCATCTATCGGTAGAGTTGTGAAACACTTGGAAAAGCTTTTCGCTCGAAAATCCTCGAAAGTTTCATAACAGAAACTTAAGAGTCAAGCTCACTTGGGACTGGCTCAAAGTTTGCATTTAAAATTTATTATTAACAATATAAACATAAATGATTAATATTAAAAAGTTTTCAAAAAGAAAAAAAATTGAGCCGTGAAAATAATTTTGTAAGAGTCTCCTGTGCCTTGAGATTTTATTATTATTATTTTTTTTAAATTAATTATTTTTTATTATCTTTACTATACTTTATTTTATTTATTTTATTTACTGTATTTTATTATTTTTTTATTTATTTTATTCATTTAATTTATTTAATTAATTTTTTATTTTATTTATATTATTTTATTTATTTTATTCATTTTTTTTTTTTTTTTTTTCTTTTTGTATTTTTTTTTTTCACGGATCGCTAGCATGTGTATGTATTTAATATATAAGTTTTGTTTATAAAAAGTATATAAAAAAAAGTATAACAAGAAAGGAAGCTAACTTCGGCACGCCGAAGTTTGTATACCCTTGCAGATTGGTTTTGATGTTTATTTTATAGATTTAAATGCTGAAAACACTCACAAAACAGAGTTTCATTACATTTTACCTATACTTATTATGTTTACAGTTTGACAGTTACAGTTTTACATTCTCAGCTTTATATATTTTATACATTTACCGATCGCTTCTATGGCAGCTATAAGATATAGTTGTCCGATTTTTATGAAATTTATACCAAAATTCTAGAATAATAAAAAAAACGTATATCTCAGAGTAAATAAAAATGCGTTGAAAAACAACGAAGCTATAATTTTATTTCTATTAATTTCTCGATCGTTCCTATGGCAGCTATATCATATAGTCGTCCGATTTTCATAAAATTTTTACCAAAATTCTGGAATAATATAAAATGGCTATATCTCAAAAATGATGCAAAAATATTGAAAAACAGCCAAGTTATACTTTTTTTCTAAAAATTTATCAAACATTTGTATGGCAGCTATATGATATAGTCGTCCGATCCGGCCCGTTCCGACATATATAGCAGTGAGAGCATATAGAAGACTATATGCAAAGTTTCATTCAGATAGCTTTAAAACTGAGGGACTAGTTTGCGTAGAAACAGACAGACAGACAGACGGACAGACGGACAGACAGACAGACGGACAGACGGACAGACAGACAGACGGACAGACGGACATGGCTAGATCGACTCGGCTGTTGATGCTGATCAAGAATATATATACTTTATAGGGTCGGAAACGTCTCCTTCACTGCGTTGCAAACTTCTGACTGAAATTATAATACCCTGCAAGGGTATAAAAATTGTTAACTCACCCACACTCACAAATACGCACACAACTGTACATACATACATACGTACATTATGGCGGATGCTGCGGTCTCACATTGTCCGCGGGAGTCTCAGTTTTTCTATTGCACTTTTGGTGGCTTTAACTTGGTAATCAATTGCTTATTGCCTTAAAAAAGTCTTATTTTTATCGCGAACAACGTTATTTGTTAATTTCACTTCGAAATTTGCACGATTTACGATATTATCGCATTCCGTCTCCCTCCTTCGCAGTTCCAATTGGCTGGAGAAGCTGCGCTCACATCACATTTTTATAAATCTGCTAAATATTCACTTTTTCCATGCGTTTTTCATTATAAATCCATAAAACTGAGTTAGTTTAACTGATTTAATAGTTTTTTTAGGTATTTTTATATGTTTTTTCCCGAATAAAATGTTGTTTTTCAGGAGCAGCAGCACGGCTCAACTTTTTCACTCCGCCATAATTCTTTTTCTGTTTCTTTTCTTCGCTCTTCTTTCTTCAGCGCTGCCATTGGCAAGATTTTCAGTGGCGTAGAGAGCGGAGAGCGGTGAGCGGAGAGCGCGTGTTCTCATTGGATGGTGTGAAGCCAAGATCTGGAACGATTTCCAGTGGCGAAGGAAGAGGGAGCAAGGATAAAAGTAGAAAAGAATAAGAAGATGGCGGAGTGAAAAGTTGTGCCGTGCTGCTGCTGCTAAAAAACAACGTTTTTAGCCGGGAAAAAAGCTTTAAAAATACCTAACAAACAATTAAATTAGTTAAACTAACTTAGTTTTATGGATTAACAATGAAAAACGCAAGGAAAAAGTGAATTTTTAGCAGTTTTATAAAAATGTGAACTGAGCGAAGCTTCTCCTGGCAATTGGAACTACAAATTCCGAAGTGAAATTAATAAATAACTTTATCCGTCCTAAAAATAAGACATTTTTAAAACAGTTAGCAAGTTTAATATAAAACTAAAGCGAACAGAACTCATATAAAAAAGCTGAGACTCCCGTGGACAAGAATAAAAAAAACTGAGACTCCCGTGGGACAGAGGCTGCAGAAACTGTACTCATACATATGAATGTGTGTGCAGGAGTCGATGCGTATCCCCCTCTCTCTCCTTCGCCTTAGAATACGTTCCACACGCGATCTTGGCCCACACGCTCTCCGCTCTCCCGCTCTCGCTGCAAGCGAAAATCTTGGCAAGGCAAGTGGTAAAAGGAGAGGGAGCAAGGATGAAAAGGAGATGGCGGAGTGAAAAGTTGTGCCGCGCTTCTGCTGCTAAAAAATAACATTTTTTGAGTCGGGAAAAAACATATAATAATACCTAAAAAACCATTAAATCAGTTAAACTAACTCAGTTTTATGGATTAACAATAAAAAACGCATGGAAAAAGTGCATTTTTTTTTTGCAGTTTTATAAAAATGTGAACTGAGCGAAGCTTATCCTGGCAATTGGAACTACGAAGGTTGGAAATGGAATGCGAAAAAATAGTAAATTGTGTAAATTCCGAAGTGAAATTAATAAATACCTTTATCCTTCCTAAAAATAAGACATTTTTAAAACAGTTAGCAAGTTTAAAATATAACTAAACCGAACAAAACTGATATAAAAAAGCTGACTCCCGTGGACAAGAATAAAAAAAACTGAGACTCCCGTGGGGCAGGCTGCTGCTTGCAACTGTACTCATACATATGTATGTGTGTGCAGGAGTCAATGCGTATTTGTGTATGTGTGGATGTGCAGTAACTGCTCCTGTGGCAAAGAGCACTGCGAAACAGAATAGAAGAAGTAGATCACAATTGCGGTAAAATGTAAAACTGAGAAGTGCGGCTGCTGCTACAAACCGTTGATAAAGTAATAAATGTAAATATAAAGTGTTTTAAAGTGCGTGTATAAATCAAGAAAATATAGAAAAGCAATGCTAATTAAATATGCCAGAGATCATTGGTGTATTGTTTGTGTGTATAATTTCACAGGAATGGAAAATTCCTTTAATTTATTTTGTTTTTTTATTTTTTTTAAGTGTTAAATTTTTTTTGATTTTTTTTTTAAGTGTTTAATTTTTTTTATTTTTTTTTCGTGTTCGTACAGTGTTTATACAGTGTTTTTAGTTCTGCGAGTTAATAAAATAGCTTTCAATAGCAAAAGGAAAGAAAGGAGAGATCAGAATTGGATGTGTTTAATTAAATTTCCCACATGAAAATTACGAATATAAAGACGAAAGAATGAGAAAATCGGTAAGTGAAAAAGCAATATAATTTATATATATATTATATGTTTTTTAAATATTTCTTTCTTCAATTGTTTATTTTAAATTATTTAACACACACATAAATCTGATAATATAATATATTAAACAATAAAAATAAATAAATAATAAAATTATAAATAAATAAATAAATAAACAAATTCTGCCTCACATAAATCTTATAATATAATATTTAAATAATAAAAATACATAAATAATAATAATGATAATAATAAAAAAAAATTAATAAACAAATTACGCCCTACATAAATCTGATAATAAAAACAATTAAATAATTATAAAACCCTCTTCATGGATAAAGCTTTTTAATTTTTTTATATTAAATTTAGGCTTTGCTGTACATGTATATAAATAAAAAATAAATAAATAAAATTATACAAATATGGAAAAAATTAAATAATAATAAAAATAAATAAATACTAATAACGATAATAATAAAATAAATAAATAAACAAATTATGCCGCACATAAATATAATAAAAACAATACCCTCTACATATATAAATAAAGCTTTTAAATTTCGCATATTATTATATTTAGGGTTTACCGTATTATAAGAATACATACACACATAGCCACATTATATATATGAAAAATATCGCCAAAAATATCGATTGAAAGCATCGCTGACGATTTTGATGTGCTATTTTATCTCAATATTCTTTGCTTAATGAATTTTAATTTTCCTAAGGAATATTATTGAAAGTTTAATACATATTATATATATTAAGAAATATTACTAAAATTAAAATATACATTTAAGACCCTTCCATGCATATAAGACATTTTTTTTATTATTTCAAGGGGAAAAATAATAAATAAAAATTTCTTCTATATTCTTGAAAATTTCTGAAATGTATATTTTGCAATACTGAAATGAATTTATCTAAGAAATATTCATGGATGAGCGAAAAACAAGTAATTTTTGTTTCGAAATATTCCTGGAAGAGTCAAAAATATATTATTTCTGTACAACAATGTTTATAAGAGTCCGAAAATAAATAATTTCTTTAAGGAATATTCCTGAAAGTCGAAAGTGAATAATTTCTCCATTGAATATTCTTGGAATAAACCGAAATGAATCACTTGCTCGGTAAAAAAAAAGGTATAATTTGGAACCACTTACGTGGTTTATCCCTTGTCGCTCCTTGACCATCCCTCGTTGTGCCGGCTGTTGTCATGGCAATCTTCCGGCCATAACAGCAGAATGCCATGACGACGCACCTGTATAGCCGTCAGCTGGTGTCCACCACCGCCGGGTGGCAGGTAAATAAACAAGACATTTCTATATTCGCATCCAAAACGTCCGGAAATAGTGAAGTGAAGTAGTGCAAAATAATAAATAAATAAAATAATAACAAATAATATTAAAAAGCTAACTCGAAATGGCGGCCTAAATGGGTTTGCTCTGCGCCAAGTTGCGCCACTGCTGCTGCTCCTGTTTCCTTCGGTTTTCTACGCAGTCCCCGCCCGAGGCGGAGGAGTTCCAAGTGCTGATCCTGGGCCCGGCGGCCAGTGGCAAGACAGAGCTAGGCCATCGCTTAAGTGGATTGCAGCGCCCGGAAGACGACCAGGAGGCCACGAATGGTGTACGTTGCTATAACGCCAGTATTTCTTCAGAGGATCTGCATCGTCCGGCTGTTAAGCTGAAGCTTACCGAAGTGGGTGGCAATACGGAGATGCAGCGTCTTTGGCGGCATTACTACGCCTCCTCGCATGCCCTCATCTATTGCTTTGATCTTTCCACGGATCCGGAGCACCTGCAAGACACCTTCAACCTGCTGGCGGAGAGTCTTAAGGGCACACAGCTCGCTGGCAAGCCGGTGCTCCTGGCGGCATCACGATACTGCGACGGCGTCCAGCTGTACGACGTGGAGTATGCCTTTGGCTTGGAGCAGCTAGCGAGCTCCTGCAACTGTCCGCTGCTCATATGCCACATGGACGAGGCTACGGATTTGCAGCGCGGTATCCGGTGGCTGTGCCGCCAGTTGCTGGCCAGGAAGACGCAGTTGGAACGCAGGATTCGATACGATGTCAACATGCAGGTAAGAAAAAACAATAAGAAAATTTGCACACAAAACTAATAATGGCGGCGATCGCCGATCGGCGTGTTCTGTTTTCCTTAGAGGTGGGAAAACATCGATAGTATCGAAACATCGGTGTTGCATGGCAATTATCGATGTTTTTACTTGAATTCCAGTGCCAGATGGCTCGAGAAATCATTTTTTAAATTTTGATTTCAATTTTTAATGATTTTTTTATTTTAACAGGTGTGGCAGCGCCGTAAGAGATCGCTGTTATCTAGTGGAAAATTAGCTCAAGTGCATCGCCAGCGATTTCGAAGACAGCACAGAAAGGTAAAAATGTACAAAAATAATTTTTAATTAAATTTAATTCAACAAAAAACAAATTAAATTAAATTATCAATTTAACTATTTATTTTGTAGCTTTGGCCAGCAGTCCTGGGATTCGGTGAATCGACAGCCCGTCCAAATACAGCGCCGCCAACGATTTTCTTTGTGCGTTCGCCGCAGGTGGAAAATCCCAAGGATAATTAGGGAAAAACGTGATTCAGGAAGTGCGCATTTAAAGTGCCAAAAACCAACAATTGCTTTTATCCGTGGCTACTTAAGCAATTTTTAGTAGTTGAAGAACTGCTTTACATAATCAAGTTAGTTATTAATTGAATACTAAATACATTTTGTATGAAGAACTTTTTTTTATTAGTGTTTTCTATGATTGTTTCCAGAAATAAAAAAAAAAAACGTATTAATTTGGGGGTTTTTGTAACATACTGTACATATTCTGAAAGTTTACATATGCATAAAACAAAGGCAGTTCTATTGTTTCATTTGTAAAGTAAATTTCACCAAATTTGAATTGTAAAATACGATATCCCATGAAAAGCAATTGCTTTAGGTAATTGTATGCATATTTTTGCATGTTTGCATGCCTGTCAATTTGTATTGAACAAAAGTTAATCAATTGTCCTGGTAAGCGGAGAATTATGCATTTCGCACAATTTATGACAAGCTTACGGCTCTTTCGATTCTCGGTTTAGTTTCCGTTGTCAGCTCTAATTAACAATTACAAGTTGGCCCAAGTGGCCAGGATTAAATGTATGTATGTACATATGTGTAAGTCGGACATTGTGTGGCGTTTTAAATTACATTTCTTAAAGGCATCCACACTAGCCATACAGTCGATGTCAAAATAATAGCAACCAAAATATAGTGGAGTTTATTAAAATATTAAAATAAAAGTTACTATAGGTTTTACTTAAGAGGTTCTATTAGATTTCTCTCGAATTACTATTAATTTAGAGAGAAAATTGGAGATTCTTGTGTAAATATTTATATTTTATGATTAGGAATAGGAATTTCTGTGGAAATATTAGTTTAGAGAGACAACTAGTCATTTTTAAAGAATTATTAGAACTATAATTGAGATCACAGCTGTACGCGTGTAAGTCTGCATGCAAAATCCATCGTTTTCGTCCAGATTCTGGCCAGACATCCTGATGGGATATGGCTGAGGAGAAGGGGGAGGAGCAGAGGCAGAAGCTGGAGATGTTTGGTGTTGGGTGCTGGGTGCTGGGTGAGTCGAATGTCAGCCAGTCGATGATGTATTACCGAACACCAATAAGCAAACCACAAGGAGAGAGCAGGAGGAGCGCATCCACAAGCACACCGATATTCCACGAGGCGGCTGAAATCAAACAATTACTAATACACTGACATCGATTCCCACCCAAAGGCAGTGGGAAAATTTTTGGGCGTAGGGTGGTGTAGAAAATGGGCGAGATGGTGACATTGATGATTGCGGCTCGTCGGCGTCTGGAGACGCCGGAACGTGTGCCCATTATAATCCCCTGACGCACGGCGGCGTTCACATCAATAGCATTTCTCGGAGTCTTGAAATTATTATTAAATAGAGTATATAATATTAACCTTATAATATTAAGAAACCAGACTTAAAGAAGCTTAAGTATTGGCGCAGTATTTGTCCCACAGCACCGGAATTTGTGACTCCCCCCAAATCTTGTAGTCGGTGATGTTGTTTTTGCGTTGGATCTTGACCATTTGGACATTGGTACCGTTCATTTTGGTATTACCCATGGCCACCTTAAGAGCCTTCATAGACATTTCCAAGGCCGTGTCAATGGATGGCAGTGGCTTGCCAATGAGATTCTTATTGAGGTAGTCTTGGGCCTCTTTTGCATTACGTCCAATGCAGACGGTCTTCCAACCGCTGTAATTGCCACTGGGATCGGACTGAAAGAGCTGCCAACCGTTCTCCATGTCCCAGCCAATGTAGATGACCGAGATGGCAAAGGGTCGCTTCCCGATGTACATGGTGTAGCTTTGCTTTTTGTTGCAAATGAGTTCCACCAACCTCTCCGTGGGTATCAGCTCGCCATAGTTCTTTCGGTGGCGATGCGAGTAGCTGATCATCGCCGACACCAACTTGTAAGCATCCGTCATTTTGCCGGTTATAGCGCAGGAATTGTCAGGGTCCACCCTAAAGAAATGGTCAACTTCCCCGCGCCTGGTACTGAGAGGTTCTGTACCCTCGAGCTCAGCGGCAATCACGATGCCGTCTTTGGCCAAAATGGCCACAATAGGGCTTGCCTTGGCCACCTCCTCAAGGGCGTACTCCACGGTATAGATGCGACCCTCGGGCGAGAAGAAGGGAATATTTGGGATGAAATAATTCATGGCCACGGTCTAATAGGTTTTGTTAATATATATACATGGTTAATTCCGATTTGAAAACAAATACTATGTGTCTCTTAACTTTCTTATTAAAAAAGTAACTTTATTTTAGAACTTTCCCGAATGAAAAATTAATGAAACTGCTGTATCATAGGCTTGACATCTTAGGGATGTGAAAAATATTTAATATATCGATACCTATTCAGGTTTAATTACAGAAAATAAGTTTAAAATGTGTCAATACATCGATATTTTTGGGGAATAATGTTATCAAAATAAATATATTTTTGGGTTATATATAATTATTTTAATACCAATAATATATTTAAAAAATGTTTTTTAGTCTATATATATTTTCTTTTAATTATTTATTTATTTATATAAGGTTTTTTTAATTTTTTATTATAATGAAAATCGATATATTATCGATTAAACATTTTAAAATATTTAAACATCTTTACTTTTAACCTATTACAATTTATTAGTTTCTATAATTTTTACTATTACGCTGACCGTTGCTGTGTCAGTCGCCACTGCAGTTTGCAAAAAAAAAAAAAAAAAAATCACCCAGGATCTCTCTCGCACACACCCACACACATACACGCACACTAGTATAAGGACACCCATACTGGCTGGCAAATAAACATGTGTCGCCGTGTGTTGTAGCGAAAAGTGTAAAATAAGCATCAATCATCGCTTATTCGAGTTGTCATCAATCACACACACGTTGCACACACACACACACGCGGGGCAGGATACGCTGCGGTGACACCAACACCAACAGCAACAACAACAATAGCAATAACAATGACAACAAAAGCAACAACTGAAAGTGAAGAGAAAACGCCGTGATGATGTCTCACCGTTATTTTGGGTGGTTAGTTTTTGAGGCAAATTTTGCCAACCCTCCTCTCACCCCTGTCACCCATCAAGCAACAACAGGGATGTGAATTATCCTGGTTATCCTGTCGGTACAACTTATAACATTTTCTAGGTAGTTGGGTACAATTTTGTTAAATATTTATAATGCTGCCTTACGTTTTGGGAGATTGTAAGGACATACAACTTTACTCTTTTATTTTTAAATTATTCTTTATTAACTTTTTTTATGGAAATCAAATTTCATATTATTAGTTTATATTTATTTAAGCTCAGTTTTTAAGTATTCTTCACTGAATATAATTTTTAAGTGATTTTTTATTTGACAAATAATTTTTTATAGTTTTTTTTTCAGTTTTTTTTACCTGTTTTTAATGTGATTTGTGATTAGAATTATTTTAAATATTTAAAAAATAATAGTAATTTAGATTTACTTTGATTATATATTTTTTAATATTTATTTATTAGTATTATTATATTTATTTTCTTTTTAAATCTTCTTTTTCAGTAATATTTTGTACATAATTTTATTCTTATTTTTGCTTAGAGAGTTAATTTAAATATTTTCAAAATAATTTTTTTTTCATATTTATTTTAAATATATTTTTAAAATATTTATTTGTATTATTATATTCTTTTTTTGTACCTAAAACTTGCTGTACTCAGGGCACCCTTTCTTACAACACTGTCAGCCTGCCCATTAGCAGCACCCCTTGCCGTTCTTATCCGTTATCCTTCCGGTCATTGTCCTTCGAATAAAAAGGGGCATTTCTCTAATCCTGAATCCTGGGCGTAGTTATTAAATCATCAGGTTGCACGATCGCGAGCCACTGCCTCACGCCGCTGTCACATGTCTGTCAACAGTCAACAACGGGTTTTTTTTTGAAACCAAATATATATCCCTATAGCTGAAAATAACCAAATATTCGAGTAACCCTCATCAGGGATACCGAGTTATTTGCGAGCTGCGTGCGCCAAGCCGGAAAATAAAGATTTAATCGGCATTTATGGACATTTTTGCAGACTCCTTTTAACGATTATGCCGCGCGCTCGTCTGATGACGAACGAGTTGTCAAACAACAACAACAGCCGGGGGGTGTTTTTGGCTTGAAACCCCCCCTCAAGGGACCTCAAGGAGCAAATTAATCTCCAGGACTTGTCCCGAAACTTGTTCGTCAACGCGATATCTGTCAACGGAGTTTTACGCACTGCGAAAATAAATGGGTTTAATGAGAGAGATTTTGGAAAGGAAAAATATAGGGAAATTTTAAGATATATATTTATTTAAATTTAAATTATTAACTATAACAACCTCTAAATAAATCCTTAATCTCTAGGATTTTCTGCTCTTGTATTTTATATATTTTTTCTATTATTTTTTTCTTTGAGTGCATTATCCTAGAGCGGGTTTTAATTTCATTTCGTAGCAACAATGGTGTTATGCTAAAACGGATCCGGGGCTCTAATGTTTTTACGTAAACCATCCCCCCCCCGCCATTTAATCGAATAAAGTCACGCCGCTTTAACATTTGCGGTCAACACGTGAGAGGCTGTGGCGATTTGGTCAAGTGGCCCAGGACCAGGACCAGTACCAATATCCCTGTGTGTGTGTGTGAGAGAGTGCCAAACAAAGTTTGCCACAAAAAGGCTGCAGGACATGTGCACGAAATTAATTTCCAGGGCAGCCGGATGAAGGACGTGAAGGATACGATGGCAGGCAGGCAGCATCGCCGTCTTTTTAATCCAACATGATATCGCCCACAAAATGCTAAGCGGCCGAGGTGGCTCGCTGTACAGTGAAGTCTCGATGAACAGGAACTTGAAAATATTAAATTAAAATAATTAGAATATTTTTTAAAGTGGAAATTGAGGTCCTAGAACATACAAGGAACTCTAAATTTAATTAAAAACTAATTTATATTCTTTAGAGACATGGAAAATTATAAATAAAGTTATTAAAATTTTTTATTTTTATTTTTTCTTAATATAAAAGTTAAAAAAAAAATAATATATGACCAAGTTTGAGTGTGTATTGAAAATTCAGAATAATTTTAGAATGAAAAATCTGGCATTTATAATGAAATTTAAGGTTTAGAACAATTAAAAAAATTTTAAATTGAATTAAAAACTTATTTATAATTTGAAAATATTTTTTTAAATATGTAAATTAATATTAAATTATTTAAGCTTTAATAAACATAAAACAAGCTCTTTTTGATTTCTTCTACAATTCTTTGATATATACAGAACTATAAAAAAATATTTAAAAAATCATTTAACCAGTCAAGACTGTGTCCTTGCCACCCGAATCCTTGGCACGGCAACGTAGCCAACGTCAGTGGCCAACTGCAAAAATCCGAAAGCGGATTAAACGTATTCGTGAGAATTCGTCAACGATTTCACACCTGTTCGACGAGGAGGGACCTGGTCTATGGATCCCATGGACCCCAATCAGAGCCACATCCCTGTCCAGCTACTGCTGCTCCTCCTCCTCCTTCTCGTTCGGCATAAAATGCCAATTAGAATTTCAAGTTCGCAGTCCGTTGGTCCGCCTTAAGCGCTCTTCTCTTTTCCCCTCTCAAAAAATATATACATATATATAGTATGTATGTGGTGGAGGATAGGATATATCTCCCCCGATGCCAGCGCAAATTGTTTATCGCCCTTCGGGGCTCTTTATTAACTTTACGGCCAGAACTGACCTCTGACCCTCTACGCCGCAGGCGGCTCCAACCCCATTCCCTTGTCCAGTTACCAGTTCCCAGTTCCAATCCCGTCCAGATTTCGTTTCGCAGCCGACTTTCGATTTCCATCCGCTTCGATTGGATTTGGGTTTCGGGTGGTCCACATCCTTTGGCCAGCTTATGCTGCTCCTTTTGGTTTTTATTTTCTCTCTCTTTTTTATTTTTTTTATTCTGCAGCATTGGAAACGCGGAAATGCACTCAAAATATTAAATGCTTCAGAAGTTTGCAATTATTGCCTTGTGCTTAATTCATAATACGCATCGAACTGGGTAGAACAGGAGTTGAGTTTTCGGACACAGGCCTCTTGGTTCTCAGGGAGGGTGGGTTAAGGGATAAGGAACTTGGTAGAAGGGGAAGGAGAAAGGAAGAGGAGGAGGAGGAGGAGTGCTTTCCACTAACCACAAAATGCATTAAAAAGGACAAGTCAAGGGTTGCGGTCAGTTTGAGTTAGTTTTTTTTTTATTAAAGGTTTTGCTCGGCTTAGTAATGTCTTTTAAATGAAATATAAGGTTTAAAAATAGTCTTAAGATATAAAAAAAGGGTAGGGGAAAATTTTAATGGAAAATAATAATTATTATTTATATTAAATATATTTGATATAAATATTAAATATATTTTATTTAAATATTAAATATATTTAATATAAATATATATATATATATATATATATATATATATATATATATATTTTATATATTGGAATATAAATATAAATATATTTTAAAAAATTATATAAAAATATACTTTAATAAAAAAGCAAGCTGAATAACAAATTGACATTAGAAACATAAAAAATATATAAAGTATATACTAAATATAATTTTCAAATAGAAAATGGCATGAAATCATTAAAAATATTAATATATATGAGCCCTTAAAGGCTGAAAAAAACTCAAAACCTTTTTTATTTAATCAACTAAGTCCACAAAAAAATTCCTAAATTATTTCATATTTTAATAACACAATTTAGTCATTGTAAAATATATTCACCAATATAGTTTTAAACTTTTCACCTTAATAAAAGTTTAAAAATATTAAAACTAAAATAAAATCAGGAAAAATTCTATATTTCCAGTTTATTAAAAATATTTTGTTGTTATTTTTCCTCAAACAACTAAAACAGTTCCCTCAATCAAGAAAAAGGCATATAATTTCATGTTCCATATGTCAAAAAAAAACCGAAAATGCTACACAAAATTAGCGCATTATATTGGCCAAAAAATTGAGGGGGAAAGAGGCAACGGCGGCATATTTCCAAGAGCAAACCATAAATATAAATTCCCAGGCGTTTTACGAGCAAAGAAGCAAGAAAAAAAAAGAAGGGAAGAAGGCAAAAAGGATTACAAGCCACAAGGAGCACATCAACAACATACACAAGTACACAGGACACAGGAGCAGAGGCTTCGATAAAGCAAAGTCTATGAGATTTACGAGCAGATTTCAAGAGTTACAAATACATACATGAATTTGGCCTAGGATCAGGAGGGGGAAAAAGGATAA